TCTCTTCTCAGGGGGGAAGGAAGACAAGAAACTTCTTCAAGAACTTCCAGGATCAGCCCTTTGATCTGGACTCAGTCTACCCCATAGGGATCTGATTGACATGCAATTCCCCAGCCCTACTAAGTTTGCTAAGTAGATGTAATCAGAGAGAAGGCATCTCAGTTAAAGAAGTTTGGGGACATTACCAGACATGAAAGCCTAGTCTGCATTTTGCATATTGTTCTGTTATTATTTCATCCCACTAAACTTTGCATCCTTTTACCACCAGCGCTTTTGTTGAAGAAAATGGGGCTCTGAGCAACTTGGTCTAGCGGAAGGTGTCCCTGCCCATGGTACGGGGCTGGAACTAGGTGATCTTTAAAGTCCCTTCCAACCCAAACCATTCTGTGATTCTATGAAAATAGTCAGGTACTATGGCAGAGATCGACCTTTGCAAGTGTCTATTGCTGGTCTTCTGCTGCCTTGAAGATGGGCATCACAGTTGTTTCTCTTATCACCTGAGGCCAGGCATAACTAAACCACAGAAACTGGTAGTCAACTTGAAGGATTCAGGACATCCCTACTTTCAGCTTTACATAACAGAAATAATCTGCATATGGGCAGATAATTAATAAAGCTTCCCAACACCCCCAGTCTGTACCATTACACAGAAGGATAAAACTGCACTCAGGCAAGAAGAAAAGTTCAGTAGCTAGCTTTGCTGTCCTCCTTGTAAATGAAAGTATTCCTGTGGATATTTATGGGAGTGGATCAGGATGACACATGCCATAGCAGGAATCAGTGTCACTCTTGGGGTGGGCAAAAGCTGTCTGGAAAATCAAGACTTCCTCTCTCTAGTAAATACTGTAACTTTTGCCTTCACAGGAAGCATCTTTGTGTTTAAGCTGTTCAATATACTGGAAGAAATATGACTTATTCTAGGAGATATATTGAACCAGATATATCACAGCTTATTCGATACTCCAGTCGAGCAGAGCTTTCTCATAATGAATCATCTCAACTAAGTTAAACTACTCCCAGCAGCGAGGCCAACCAAATAACCCACCTAGAGTGTGTTTGGGAAAGGAAGTGATGAGCTAGACTAGAAGAGAAGGCATGTGAGGCTGAGCTGAGCCTTGGGAAAGGAAGACCTGAGCAAAACAGGTATGGCACAGCATGGGTATTCAAAGGACACTCAGTTTCACCTTCCGTGATCGCAGTCTTGCAGACACTTCTGCCTACGTGCAGTCCCTGGCCATGGTTGGATTAAGTACCTGGAGAATAGGCAGCGTACCTAGCCCCTTCCACAGCCTTGCCCTGCTTCCACAAGACCTGTCTCTCCCTCAGCATGCGAAATGGATGCAAAAAGTTCAGCAGGGTTTGGTGAGTGCAGATTGTGAATGCAAACAGGTCCAGGTAAAGGAAAACCTGAGTGGTGACTTACCTGGATCAGGGCAGCCTGCTATGAACCTAACGTGGCTTCTCACATAACCTGAGTAAGCAGTAGACTTCACACCTGTACCATGAAAAAAAACCTTCTTATTATTAGTGGTTCACTTATATTTCACACAAAAAAACCCTCCAGAATGACTGACTGCTAATGGCAAATCATCTGCCCCGGCTATGGCTCAGGATTGCTTCTCACACATACACCTGCTGGCACAGCTGCAGGGTGGCATGAGTCAGAGATGCTTTCACAGTGTTATGCAGGACAGTAATTCATACAAGCCTCAGCACCATTTACAGGATCTCTGCCTCTGACTTTTCCCATGATAGCTGACTGAAAGACCCTCCTCATATCATTGAGAAGTGAGCACTGATCTGAGATTAGCTGTTGACCAGCTGCAAAAATATTAATAGTACATTTAGCAACAGCACCCCAATTCTTGGCAAATGAGAATTCACACTCTCCAATTATTTTCTATTACATTGCTTCATTCTACTATGTATATTAATTGTCTATTTTGGTTTGCTATTTAGCAGCTGGCTTCCTTTTAAGTTAAGGATCATTCCCCTTAACTGCATGCTTCCATAGCTTCTGCTCTGCCAAAAGGTTAAACTGATCTCATTATCCATTTCCTGCAGAGACCTAATTTCTACAAAAGGCCTTGAGAGAGGCAGTATGATTGGTAGGAAAGAAAAGACTGCAAGAAGCTGTTTTTACATTTAGCCAAATACTGGTAAGAACAGACACCATTTGAAATGATGCTCCACGTGGGTCTCAGCAGATCGGCAGAACGTTTATCCTCTTCTGGTTTATGCTTATTCTTGCATCAGCCCCTTTCAGCATGGCATCCCCCAACCTGTCAACACATTAAGTAGCTAAGGATAGAAGATGGTACAAGTCAAACCATGAGGGTGGCGAGACACTGGAGCAGGTTACCCAGAGAGGCTGTGGCTGCCCCATCCCTGGCAGTGTTCAAGGCCAGGCTGGATGGGGGGGCTTTGAGCAACCTGGTCTAGTGGAAGGTTTCCCTGCCCATGGCAGGGGGTTTGAACTGGATGGTCTTTACGGTCCCAGTCAAGCACTGGGACAACCTGAGGAGTCTTCATCCCTAGACGTTTCCAAGATCAGATCTCACACCAACCCCATCCAACTGCAATGCTCATCCTGCTTTGAGCTCCTCTCCTACTGTGGTCCACGAATCATCAGTGGTCTAGAAGACAGTGAAAAGGCAGCTGCAAAGCCACTGCTACTCTGCCTCCATAGAAGCACTGAAGTGGGAGATAGGGAGAAAAAAAAAACAACAAAAAAATGTATCCAAAACATTGCCTACTTTTAAAATCAGATTTTGAACTGAAGTTGTCACAGTATGGTACAAGACTGATTGCAGATCCCACTTCCCCTCCCTAGGAGGTTTGATAAATTTTAAATTAAAACCAAGTTGAATACGGCAGCTGCATCAGCAATAGACGGCTCAACTGCACCAGATCTGAAGGGGAAGTCTGAGAGTGTGACATTCACAGGGCCTTATTTCAGGTTAGCTTTAGCCTAGTTTCTGGGACTGACTTTACCTCTGGGGTAAAGGGATGGAGGTCTTCTAGATAGCTTCCTCTAAAAGGAACCCAGTCCACATGCTCAGAGGTCACCAAAGCACTGTTAAATGAGGACAGCCAAAGGATAAACAAAATAAACAAATGCATGCTTCTATGGGGAGAAAAGAGTTGTCCTCTTCCTAGACTGTAAGAAGTTATAAGTACAGAAAAGCATCAGGTCTGACAGCATTTTGGGTAGAAGCGTGGTGCTATGTACAGTACTATTCAGGATTTATCAGCTTGTATTCTGCTGCATTTGGCTTACTTGTACAGTGTTACTATTTTGCCAAAAAAAAGGAGACTTAAGTCACTCAAAACACCTTCCAGATCTCAGAGCGGAAGCTCTCCACCCGGATTTTACAACTTCACCTGAAACTGAAGGAACAGTTATTTGACTAATTTGACTGGGAAGACAGTGCAGGAAACATGCTTTAAAGTTGCTATGAACCAATACAACACTATTAAAAAGTTGCTTATTGTCACATTCAATACCATCCACCTACTGATTCCAATAGCAACGTAACTCAATGTCCTTAGGACAGCCTTGTTAGAAAAAGCTCTTGAAGCTTGTTAGCCCAGGTGTAGGCAAATTAAGAGTGTAGGTGGACATTAAATCCAACCCAAAATAAGCAAGCAGCTCTGAGTGTCAGCAGATCTAAAATTGAGGTGGTATTTCAGTTCATTCTCTTCTAATGCTTCAATTATTATGACCTAGAAGATGGAAGGCTTTAATACAGAAAGACTTCAGGCGTTCAAACATAATTTTCCCTCCCATTTGGCAACAGTACTATTGTAGTAACACATCAGACTTCTGATTTGTGGAAGAAGTCAGCAGTTTCGCTCTTGAGAATCATCATCTTGAATTTGTTTTCCCCAATGTCCTGGGTTCAGCAGTAGCAGTCATTTTTCCCCTTCTTGGTAGCTGGTGCAGTGCAGTGTTTTGACTTTCAGCTCGGGAACAGAGCTGATAACAAGGATGTTTTGGTTTGGCCAAGGACTTTGTGAGCCTCATGCTCTGCCAGGGAGGAGGGGAAGCCAGGAGGAAGCAGAGACAGGACACCTGACCCAAACTGACCAAAGAGGTATTCCATACCACAGCACGTCATGCCCAGGAGGTAACTGGGAGTTAGCCAGAAGGGCTGGGAGACTGCAGGGTTGGAGGAGGTATGGGTCGGAGCTTGGTCGGGCTTGGGGGGCGAGTGATCGGTCAGCTGGTGCTGAGGTGTTGTATTCTCTTCCCTTGTTATTTCCTTTATCACTGTTATTATTGGTGGTAGCAGTAGTGATTTGTGTTATACCTTAGTTACTAAACTGTTCTTATCTCAACCCGTGGGAGTTGCATCCTTTTCGATTCTCCTGTCCGTCCCTCCGAGAGCAGGGGGAGGGCAAGAAAGGGGGGGAAGTGAGCGAACAAGTTACCTGACTGGGTTTAAACCACGACACCCAATTAGCAGGTAAGATGGTGCAGGAAACTCAGCCGCTACCACAGGCAAAACACCGCTGCTAAATGAAAGTGTGGTCTGGACTCAGCAGGTCCTCGGAGATGCTGGCCATCACCAAGGCCTCTCTCAAGATGTCTGGAGTTCCAGCTCCTGGCCTTGTGCTGGCCCTCCTGACAGCACACCTCTGCAAAGGACCACGTGCCACCTTCAGTGACACCCACATCCTGCATCACCTTCCCTAGCTTTCCACACAGTCCAGGCTGTCGGACATATACACGACAAACCAAGACAAGGCCCAACTAAGTGCTATAACCAATTGCTTAAGACCAGCTTGTATTTCCTTTTTTTTTTTTAAGAAATCAGCAATTTACTAAGAAAATAATAACAAGAGACCTGTTTCCACTGAAGTCTGTATTTTAAAACTTTGCGTCAGATTTACTTAGCCTTCTTAATATAAAATCTCTTTCACTATCTTAAGTGAATCTGCAGTAAGTTGGTCTTTAAAAAAAAAAAACCAAAAAAAAACCTTTTTTAATTTCTAGAAGTTTCTAGATAGGTGTTTGTCTTGAAATACTGCTCTTTTGGGGCTTAGTAAGGTCTTGATGAGTGTCTCCAGTGCTCTAGGTGGGAACAGTGGCTTCAAGAGTCACTCTCGCTCCTGGCCAGGACACGCGCCCTGATTGAGGACATAAGCTGGTCCTGGATCTGCTTCTTGGGGTTCTCCTCAAGGTCAGTCTTGATGGCACCAGACTCTGAAATTTTCCACTCCAATTCTGCATAGAAGAAAACAAGAGAGCCATGAATGCAGGGAGCAAACTGGAAAAAGGCCACCCTTGCTTCCCCAGCTTTCTCTTACTACCATGAAAAGCAGGTCCCTGCTCTATTCCTTCCCCTCCTCTTCCACACGCAGGCCCCAGCCCCTGTCCTGCACCCACTCTAGCTGAGCCCTCCCCTTCATACAGTCACTACTGCTGGTACAGGTTTCCACACAGGGCACAGGGGTACTGCTCTGCAGCCCATCAGCAGCATTCCCAGTGCCTCCCTGCTACATCTACAACCAGGAGTGCAAAAGAGGTGATTAATACCAAGCAGGAGCTTTAGAGGCAACTCTCCCAGTGAAAGCAAATTCAACCTTCTTCTAACCACATAAGGGCAGAAGACAGGTTGGCACATCTATCACCAGTGCTCGTATATTACAGCTGTCTCCATCATATAGAGGTCATCCCAATCAAAAGAGCCTGGGAACAGACCTGCAGAGGAGCAAACAAATTGTAGCAATTCCACTGACACATGAGAACTACAGGTACTTTTCAGGGATGTATTCTGTAACGCAATTCACCCCTTTCCCACTACACCATGCCCTTATTAGTTCCTTAGCAAGACAGAAAGACTTCACCATCAATAGCAGGCCTATTGCTATGTAGGCTCAAATTGGATGGCTTCCCAGAAGCAGCAGAAAGTCGATACAACACACTCAGTTGAAACCTCTCTCCTACTCCTGCTGCAAACCTATCATTAAATCTAATTTCCTTCAGAAACTACAGAGTAATGAATACAACCTCACACTTTCTTTTACCTCTGGTGGAAGTCACCTCGGCTTCGGGGACAAAGAATGAAGAAAATAATAAAAGAATGTGCAGAGTTCCAGTGCCCAGCTATCTGCAATGACCAAATTAAGCTGGCTCAGATATCCCCCAAAATCAACTATTTATGTACTAAAACTGGAAGAAATAACTACAGGTTCTGCTACCACTGCTCACTTCAGTACACAATTAGGCAACCACTGTAGTCAGTTAGCTGTTCTCAAATCAGTGATCTCACTGGTGAGCTTTTCCCCTTCTGACAGTTCCAGGCAGGGGAACATTTTCTACAGCACATGCTCAAAGTATCCCATAAACTTCAGAAGTTTCGTAAAAAAAAAACACAAAAAAAAAAAACACAAAAAAAAAAACAAAAAACCAAAACCAACCTCTTTGCATCCCATCCCAGTACAGACAGTGATATAATCCAGCAGGGACCCTGAAATGCTGCTTAACTGTTGCTCACTTTAGATAAAGATGTCCTTAAAGTCTGATCTTAAAAAAACCTTTAAGGCATCTGGACCTATATGCCTACTCAGAAAGTTGATGAGTATCCTTTCAACTGAAGTAAAATCCAACAGGTTACAGAGTTGCATGTGCTTTCCAAGAAGAATCTTTTTCACTTCTGACCTCTGCCTTCAAGCACTGCTGTAGGACACCATCCCCAACCAACCACGTGCAAAGAGCAGCTTTTGCTGAAGAACCACAGTGCTCCAAGACCTGCACTTCTGCCCTCATCACCTCCTGAAGCACATCACGCTGACAAGGCTGCACAACCCAGCCTGCCACCAGGCTACTGACATGGGCAAGGAGAAACAGGTCTATGGAAAACCACAACCTCCAGGAAAGGTTCCCCATGGAGCCCTGTGCCCCCAAACTACCCAGGCAGGAGCTTAACATGCTGCCATCTCCAGGAGATGGCAAGAGGAAAAGGAAGTAGCCCAATCTCAGGCTAGCAGCCCCAGTCAGATAAATGGACAGGCTCTCTTTAAAGGTTCATGAGGAGCAGAGCCTGCATGTCAGGAAAATACAACAGATAAATACATGCTCTCAGGCTGAAACAAGGAGCACTACAATGCGGGAGGCAAGCACCAGTTATGAAGAACCAGTTATCAAGTGCACAGATTATTCAGCAACTGAAGGCAAGGTCGGTCATTCAGGTACAAGAGCCCCAAAGAATATGTGTGGGCACTATTTAATATATTCAGGAAAATCTGTTTCACCCAACACAGGATGTGAATACTTCCACACACATACAATTAATATTTGTATATTGGCCTACTCAGCCATCCACTGCTTTTACAAAAAGCCTTAATTGCACATTGCTGAGCTACAAGGGTGCAGAAAAAAATCTAATACAATTTTTAGTACCTCTCTTCTCCTCCAAAACCTCATTTCTCTCTTTCCCAGCAAAGTAGTTTTGCTTTTCCTTTGGAAGATGGGAAATGCAGCCACTCACCATCCCTTGTCAGGTTCATGCCACCAAATACCGAAGGCCCAATGAACTGAGCTTTGATATCTTCCTCCAAGTAGACAATTATCGTAGGCAGGTTCTTATCAGGGTAGTTGGGAATGCAGGTGGTAGAGATAGCTTTGATGAATTTCACATCTCTGAACTTTCTTGCAAGCCCGCTCATATGTTGATTTATTAAGGCACAGAGTGGAATTCTGTGAACAGCAACACACATGTATGGAAAAAAAAGACAGTAATCAGCTCCAGAAGAAAGCTCAGAAATACCAGCTCAGTAAGCAGCATTCATGGAAAGACAAGTCTACCAGGAGCAAGTGTTCCAGTGTTGAATCACTGGAGGTTTTGGTGGTTTTTTTGTTTTAAGATATTAGTAATACAACCTTTCCCTCCATCATACAGATAAATTGATCTAAGAAGATATGATATTTAGAAATTGCATGAGCAAGGGCAAAATCAAAATACTCTTTCCTGGAATAAAGTATGCAGATGACAATGAACACATGCTGCGCAACTAGAGATAATGAACAAAACCAAATACTTCTAACCCTTTCCAGAAAATTCTGGCAACTATTAGATATTTTAGGCAATTTTCCATAATGCTAGCAGGACTGGAAACCTGGTTCACTCCATTTTTGTGCCTCTAGAAACCAGGCTAAGACACGCAGTGATCCTTCTAAAGCACAGCCCTTCACACCTTACCTGGAATAATTTCCAAAACCTGGATATTTCAGTGCAGCAGCTATGCCTGTGGTAGCTGTACGGTACAAATTGTGCTGTGCTATACAGATGTACAAAAAAAAACCCCATTCTTCATGGTAACACCATTTTAGGGCTAAGTTTGGCAGTCTTGAGTCAACAGTAATGAAATTATTAATTCAATTTTTTATTTCTCAGAGGTCCAGAATCAGTTCCTTAATCTCCACAATACCACACATTTATTGATAGTGAGAGGTTTAAAGTTTAAAAACAAATTCTTACCCTTGCTTATAGAGGTGCAGGACTACCCATATATCTTTTCCAGCCTTCGTAACTTCTTGAATGTAATCTTTTCCTGAAATCTCCAGAACTTCCCCGAATTTATTCTTCATTTGTGCTGCTTTCATTTCTGCTAGCCTTTGCTGCCTGAACAGCAAGGAATGGGAACCAGATCTTGAGAACAGATGTGTTTTTGACAGAATAACACTTAAAGCAGCTACTTGAAACCTATACTTTAGAGACACATTACAAACTTCTTCAAACCCCAGAGCAACAAAAGCAAGTTTACACAGACAATAGGTGCTCTTGTATTTGCATCACAGTCTTAAACTGCCAACATGCAGGAAGTATAATTATGTTTCATTAAGTACTTTTTCCCCCCCTCATTTCTGCCCTCAGCAGACACTATACTAGCGAACGAAACAGCAAAAAACAGAGATGGTAAAGAAATAATGGAAAGCCAACACTGTAATTATGTAAATCTGCAGCACCTTAACCTCATTCATGCAAAAATTGAGAAGTCTTGGAGGTGATTTTCAAAGCTCTCAGAATCCCCAGCCATGCACTCAGCAGGTGCACATTATCTCTGCAAAAGTAGGTTGTAGATAAAGGACACTGAATTTAAATGCACTTATCCTATTAAAGACATTTAGAAGCTCTGCAAGACACCAGAAACACAACCCACTTTTTCCATCAGCAGGCCTAACAACATCCTTCCCCTCTTCAGCAGTATTTAACAGCATATAAAAGAAAAAACCTCCAGTTTTCACTAAAGACAAATTCTGCATGCTGCTCTGACCTGTACATTTCAATAGCTTTCTCATCTTCCTCATTAAATTCATCTTCATCTAGCTCTTCCAGAGTCATGTCCTCACAAGTCTTCACTAGAACGGAAGAAACATCAAATCAGCAAAAAACTCATTCCAGGATTAAAGCTCATCAGCTTTTATCAGTCCAACAGAACTTATTTAAGGACAGATTAACTATGAGAAATATGGCTTCTCTGAGGTATTAGTGTTACAGGACTTTTAGAAAATACTATGCACTTTAAACATATAGGTGCAAAGGACTCTCATCTGAAGGCTGCCTAGACTAGCACGTAAGTACCTGTGCTAGCATTCAAGTTTGATGGCCGCATGATGGCCGTACCTAACACACACAACAACACAGCAGGGATGCCCGAACAACAGGGGAAGGAGGAAGCATACAACAGGTAATGTCATAAGATACTTCTACTTGAACATTCACACAGCAGACTCCCTTCACACTGCTCTTATTTCAGTTTTCAAACATCTACTTCTATAAAAATATGAAGCTGACATCAGGAACAAAGCTTTCTTGTGCTGGAAGAATCCATGTGTTCAGGAATGTATTTGACACTCTTAACAGATGACCACCCTATATGAGAAGTTTTGGTATTCCTTACAGACTTGGAAAAGGACACATCATTTTACAGGCACATGAACATTACTGACGGCCATTTCTTGTACAAGCTTCCACCAGAAGCCATTCCAAAACTTGTCCTCCTGCTGCTCACCAGGAGACTTCTGAAGGATGGCAAGCTGCTCTTCTTCCTTTGCACGCTCCTGTTCCTCCAGGTCTTCCTTTGGAGGAAAGATACCTTTCTTACGCAGGATGTCATTCCACTCTGTGTCTTTATCTGGGTCCTAGAACAGAACAAGAAATGGACTACATGCATTCAGGGTGAACTTTACCACTTCCAGAACTTAACAGAAGCAAGTTTTTCAAGAGACACAGCACAACACTGAAGTGGTAACTGGATGGATGTCACCAGAAAGTCACAGTGTGCATCCTCCTGATGCCGAGGCTTCTTTGCAGCCCAGGCCAACCCTGAATCACAGAATGCTTTTTAAATATAGGGGAGGGCGCAAACGCAGAAGAGTGTCTTTATTTGATTTGATTCCACTCCCCACACGTACAAGAGGTCTCAGTAGGATACAAGAGTTTGAAGCATTGTAACCATCGTTGTAGCTCTCACAAGGTGAAAGAGAAGTGGAGGAAAATCAGCTGGGCAACAGGGAAGTGGGCTGCCCACAGTGCTCACATACAGAGCCTCAACAGAATGACAGGCCACCAGGTCAGCAGCAATTGCATCAGGAAGTGGTGACACACAGGCGCCAGCCTTGCAGACATAATTCTGGGTATATAGGAATACTTCGTAGGAGATTCAAGTCTGTGCGACTACACAAGTGCTTAGGAGAAAGCAAGCACAGACTCTGCCAGGAAATCAGATCTGAATCTATGCCTAGACTGTTCCTCAAAGTTAAAAAGAGACTTTACTGTGGCATAGTTGTAATAATCCTTCAAATTAAGGCCAGCAGGCACCTGTGTATTGTTGAAAAATCCAGAAGCTTTTTTCCAAGTTAGATAGACGCTTTATTTCTTTAATACATGAAAATTCATTGCTATGCAGTCACAGGCTGATTGTGGTCCCTTACTGTCTTGAGCTAAGTCCACTTTAAAAACTGAATACACCACCTATTGCTTTGCTATGGCTTGTATCAACAGAGCTTACACTAGGTCTGTTCAAGAGACTGCATCTTCTCTCTAGACCAAAACACAGCACTTCTGGACTACCAGGAGAAAAAAATAAGAGATGAAACGGTAGCACAGCAAACAGCATGCGAGATTACTTTTCTTTTTTTGTCTCCGACTGTGGTCATTTTCCCTTGACACAGCATCTACTATCGTTTATCAACATACTAAAGTTGCCCCTAAAACGCCCATCCACGTGCTTACTACAGTAGTCAAGTAAGTACGGTACTTGAAAAGACACACCAAACGACCACAAAAACAAGCCATGGAGCTGCATAACAAGGCCCCACAAGGCGGACACCTACAACCCCAGAGAGGGAGCTGAACGCGGGCTCCCTCCTTACCCCGTCTTCGCCGGGGTGCTCCGCCGGCGCGGGAGCCCGAAGCCGCCCCAGGGGCCGTGACCAAGCACTGTACCCGGCCCCAGCTCCTCGCCCAGGCGGGCTTCCTCTGCGGCACACGGGCCCTGTGCTCTGAGGCCCCGGGCTGCTCACCTGCATCCTGCCCGCAGGGCCGGGGCTCGGTCAGCGGCAACAGCACCAGAGCTCGACAGGGATGTGCCGGTCCCGGCACGCGCGTCGCGACCGGAGGAGGCGGGGCTCCCTAACGGGTCGGTCGCGTGCTCAGCGGTCTCTTTCCGCAACGCCTAATAAGGCCGGCTCCGGCTCCCGCGGACCAGGGATGGGCTGGTGGGAGCTGTAGCGGGGCGGAGCGCCCTGCTTGATCACTGCGGGGCAGCGGCTCCCCGACTACGTGAATTCAGGGGGTTCACATCTTGATGTGGGTCTGTTTCTTCCCTCTTCTTCTCCCTTCCCGCCAGCATTTCCCGTAGCCGCCAGGACCGGGATTTAAAAGGTCCGGGTCCCCCCGCTACGTACTGGCACTGGTCCTGTCCCTGTTTCTAACGGGGATCCCGCTTCATGTTCCGTGAAGGGGGCCCCGGCGTGCTCAGAAGCGTAACTTAGAAAGGCTCCTTTCTCGCCTCTCCTGGGCTCTCGCTGCTCCCCATCCTTCTCCCCTGAAAGCAGAAGGGTGTGGGTGCCCCATGGAGCAGCCAGGGCTAGCGGGTCCCAGTCCGCCGCCAACTATGGTGGGCACACACTGGTCTCCCGACCCTCAGGCAGCCGTCCATCACTGCGTGCTTCCCCGACAGTGATGCTGGAGAGGTTTTCTGCACAGCTAGGTAGTTATGTTGGTTGGTATATTGTGTACCTTCAAGTGGTAGCTATAGTTATTGCATCTTGGTCCTGGGATGAAGCGACCTTCTTGAAACAAAAAGGAACTCATGGATACAACCAGGTCCTTTTCGTGTTTGAAAGATCAAAGGAGAACAGTTGGGATTGGTAATACTAAAGGTTATTTGACAGCTTGGCAAAGTGACCATTCCATTACCTAACTTGGCAATGAAACTAACTTTTAAGGCGTCTTGAAGTGAACTGCCTTCATTATAATACCAAAAATCCGCTCTCCTCTGAGCATGTGTAGTGATTAGAAGGAATGACTAATCCTTTCTAAATATTATATGTAGCAAATATTACATGTACATTCCAACCAACTGTTGTAACTGGGAATGTACTACCTTGTAACTGTTGTGTATAATGAGAAAGCTGGTATTGGTGTGTTTGATTTGTGAAACAGGCCACCCAGCACCCAGACCTGAATCAAAACAGTCTCTCTCCTGAGTGTGTGGAATTGGCTTACTGCATGCCGAGCATGAATCTGCAGACACTGAGGAGTGGGTTAAGTGTGGTGACTCAAGTACATTTGGGATCAACAAGCCGTTCCCTAAAAAGGGACAACTCTGTCTTCCCAAAGAATTGAGCAGACCTTGTGCTTTTCTCTCAAAGGAGAGACCTGCTGCCACCTCTTCCTCCTTTTATGCTCTAGCCAATGGTTAGCACACTCACCCAGGAGGGGATAGCCCAGTTCTGAGTCCCCAGAAAAAGACTTCAACACAACCTGCCAGCAGGCTTTAAGACTATTTGTTCTGGGCATGAGGAAAAATTACTGTCTCCACCAAGGGCCTGAAGTGGAAATTCAGAAGCTCCATTATAACATCATGGACATCCCATTAACACCCATGTATCCTGAAGCACCCTAGGGCACGCACCTTGTGCTAAGTCTGGCTTACTGAAGGGAAGGCACAGCCACCTTTTCTGCTTCTGAATTAAAATAAATGGGTAGCTGCACTTTTGAGAGGACATCAGTCCTCAGGGTGAGTATTTGGATGTGTGCACCCATCTCCCAGGGCTCTAAGGTGGAAAAGCTTAGGACTCACCCAGCTTGGACTAGATGCTGATCCTTGTGGGAAAAGTGGCTGAGGGATAGATGGAGCCACAAGTATAGATGATGCGAGAACTTTAAATCAGAAAGGGCTATGGAGCCTTCTGGCAAGGCAGCATGTGAGCTAAGGTTTTGGCATCACAATTTTGGAGTCTTCTGCAGATCCTCCAAAGTCTTTTGGCTCTGACCTGCAGTTGTACCCAGCATGCAGAAATGAAGGCTTAGCTGTTGGTGCCAGTTTTATGGTATGAATTATGAATGTTTTGTCAAAGCCTGGGCTTCCAGGGGGACCCTGCTGGTTTAACTGTCATCTTCTGCGGCTGAAATACCACATGGCTTCTGGTTAGAACCTATTCTGAGCACTGGAAAATAAACAGAAAAAGCAAGAGCAGAGAGCGTGCATTTATTTTCTATAATGTGCTCAAAACCATTCATTTGCATTGAGATTTTTGCCCATGTGAACTGAGGGGAACTAGCCAAGGACCCTTGGTACCAGAACCCTGCTATTCCCACAGGAAACCCTGAGCCCCACCTAGGGCAGATAGCTACCGGAATAGGGTGCAGAAGCCCAGATCTTATGAGCAGCCACATCACGTCACTTGATGGGGCTCAGACACAGCATGAAGCCTAGCTCTCTCTCCCCAGGACACACGTAAAGTAATACACACTTTCCCCCCTCCCACCCAAATAAATATAAATTGTCTTTGCAAAGCACATTTCCCCTACGTACTCTTATGTTTTAAATCAGGCTTCAGCAGAAAAGAGAGGACTGTTTTTACACATGGTGTACAGACAGAAATACTTCAGCCAGAGCTGGTGAGAGCTGCTAATATCACAGTAAGACTGAAATATATCTGTGGCTCAGGCCTTGGAGACAGCCTAACTTCTCCATTTCCTCCCCCCCAGAGAACTTGCTTCTGGGTATCTTTAACACATTCTTCCTTTTCCTTCAAATCGGGGATTAGGAGGAAGATAAATCACATGTGGTAACACCTCATTAAGTGTCCAGGTGAACCACTGATGAGGAGAAAAAGCTGCTAACAAAGAGATTCTGCTCCAGGTGTAGGGGGAATGATGTTGGGTGGTTTGCTTACCTTTGAGTGCAGGCTGTAGCAAAGCATAGGCCAAAATAAGGACTTTTTGAAGATAATGGGCTATATTTTAAATTGATAATATGTTGTGAAAGGTTTGGACTTTATGTTATTTTGTAAGTTAGCTGTACTAGTAGCACAGCATGTCTGTTATGTGAGTAAGCAGAACATGAGAAGTATCATCTGGTAATAGGGATAAGGAGTTACGGCTTGATTTGCTTGGCTTCTTTTATGGGCTGGGACGTTTTTGTTTCTCCCTTCCAAATTTTATTCTGTTTTTTCTTAAATATTTAAATCTCTTTTTAAAAAACACACAAAACCTCCCACATGTTAGTTTAGTGATGGATGTTCTTGCTTACTGCAAACAGCTGTGCTGGAAGCTAACTGTGCTATTCACTCATAGATTTAAAACATTATTTAAATAAGTATTTTTGCCAGTCAAATTTTAAGAGTGCTCTAACTGGACTGAATTTCCTAAATCTTGAGTAAATAGATGGTAATTTTTATTCTTCACATTGTGCTGTCTGAATCAATTTTAACTTTCCCTAGTGCAGAGCACCTCCAGTACTCTCATTACAGCCTGGGAATATCACCTGGGGGGTTAATTTAGAACTTAGTGTGAAAACTTCTTGGAGTATTTTGGGTGGAAGATGCTGTGGGTTGCAGGAACTCTTCAAAATGTATGCTGTAAAAAGGTTATAGTAGTTAAACTCTTAGCTCTGCTATTAATGAACTGTGCTGTGTGGTGCTGTCTTTCCTGAAGAAAAGAACAAGCTTCCTTTCTAATGTGGAAAAAGCAGAAAGTGTAACTCACCTTGCTGTTACCTCCTCTTGCTATCAGTTAGCTGGAGCCCAAGCACCAGGCTAATTTGAAGATCTCCAACCCCTTGTGTCCTCACCTGTCAGCATGCCTGGATGTGGAAAGAAGCATGTAGTGGCTGGCAAATCTGGAGATGCATTGAAGAAATCCAAATCAGCCAAAGCTGGTCTGCAGTTCCCCATGGGTCTCATCTGCAGGCTCCTTAAAAGGGGGAACTATGCTGACAGGATTGGTACCTCACAGCTCTTATCCTGTGTGACCATTGCTCAAGGTGGGGTTATGCCGAATATTCTTTCCTAGCTCCTCCCCAAGAAAACTTCCAGATATCCTGTTCCTTCTCAGGAGAAAGGTGCTAGCCAGTGAAACGTGCTTTTCCTGGGCTGGCCTGTTCACTTACGGATAATGAGACTCAGTAGCACTAATTTGTATGTGTCTTTGCTTCTTTGTCAAGTGGGGTTTTCTTTTTCCTTGTAATTTTAATATAAAGTTTGTAATAAAGTTTCTAGAATGCAACACTGTTCTCTTTCTTTTCTCAGCTCCTTTTCCAGGGATGGAAGTACGTAGAAAACATCAAAGAAGTCTAGCGTACCACCCAAATAAGTTTTCCTAATGTCAAGTACATGTTTACTTTTTGCAAACATAATAGGTAACTGCTGTGATCAGGCAGAAAAGTCAAGACCCACACTGCTGTTCATGTGAACTTTTTTTACATCATAGATTCATAGGGCAATTAGTTCAATGCCCTGGAGGTTGTTTAACTCTGCTTTAGAAGTTGGTAACCCTATGCTTTTAAATCTTGTTGTTGTGAAGCTATAATGAGCAGCTGCCCCTCTTCTACACTGCTCCAACATGACACTGAATCTCAGTCCCTCCATCTTGTTGTAACAACCATAGGCAGTTTATTTAAAATCCAGTGCAATATTTGTGATGTTGGTAGAGGTGACTGTTTTGCTTCTGTCCATCAGTGCAGAAAAGCAACTTTGTTCTGTACGTGGGACTGTAGTGGGAGTAATGATGGCTTTTGCAGGGACTAAAAAAAAAAAAAAAAAAAAGAGGGGGGAGAGAGAGAATAATGATGTTACATTTAACTTTAACCTGTCTACTTCTCAAGAACTGAAGAACTGATAACCTGGGGGAGTGGGTATGTTTGTGTCCTCCTGCCTACAGGTCCATGGTGACTGCCTGCAAAGTTTGTCAAGCCTTGCCATGAGCTGGACAGACGAATGGAAAAACCTGATGCCTCAGCTACAGGAGCTGACTGCGAATACCCCAAGCAGACTGAGATAGAGGAAGAGAAAAACGAATGACTGCAAAACATCACTTGGGGGCAACTGAAAAGTAACATCCTGAATATGTGTGCTTTTAAAGTAGCTATTAATAGAGGTTGTGATTTTGTGTATAAAACCACCA